AAAAATAATGTAATTCATTTTTAAATAAGTCCTGATAATCTCATTAAAATACGAAATTATTTGATTTTTGAAAAAATTTCCAAAACTATGTTTTTTACCACAAAAAAAACGCTAAAATTTCCCGTACTAATCTTTGTACCAGACGCTAACGCAAGAAAAACAAGATTTTTAACCAAAATTTCGAACGTACAAGAAAGAATTAGAAAGTTTAATAAAATAAGCAAAAAAGTTTTGGCCCTTCCTCAATAATTACATAAGCATAATGACGAGAAAACTTTGTTTTTATCAAGTTTGTGGATTCTTCATCATGGTATTCTCTTTTTTAGCGAATTTTTGGATGTATTTAATATATATATATATATATATATTTGACGGACCTCATCAAGTATACGTAAAATTAACGAAGTGAGGTGGGAGAGAGGATATGAGTGTGTCATATGTATCATTTCAGTTTCCTATTTTTGACCCCAGTGTGTCGGCTAGATGTTGCTCAAATTTAACGCGTCTCGTCTCTAGATATAGATGGCTAAGGGGTGAATGATAAGAACGACATTAAAGGAAGAAGTTACAACAACCCCAATCAATTACACGACAGGTTCCATTCAAATTCTTAGACGCTGTCAGTTCGCGTTACTTTAACGTGCATATTTGGGAGGTTAAGGTTTGATAAATATCTAAATGTTAAAACAATCTACGAAGAAATTAATTTGAAATTCGGTGGAGTTTTGGGTATTTTCTATGAAACAATCAATTGGAAAAATCCATAGACAGAACATTGAAAGAGTCATCCATTTTATATTTAGTAATCTTTTTTATTCCACTAAAACTTTTATCTTATAGCTTGTTAGGTTGACATTAGAGAGGATATGAGTGTGTCATATGTATCATTTCAATTTCCTATTCAACTTTTGGAAGTAAAGTCTGACGATCCAGAACCCTGTTAAAGGGGTTATGGTGAAATAACTTATTACATGGAATCTTAACGTGGTCTGTCTTTTATTCAAATATATATATATATATATATATATATATATATATATATATATATATATATATATATCACTCAAAAAAAAGCGACAAGAGCACTACTCGAATTTCACGCTATTGCGATCTAAGGCGATCTAATGCGTTTTAGTCGTTTGATGATCGTGAAAGCGTAAAAATCGAGAAGCGTGTTGAAGTTTGTCGATTTGGAAGTGTTTTTTGCTGTATTGCTCTGTCTTGGTCATTTAGATATTGAGCATTGTCTGCTATCTTTTGTTTTTTTCTTCTGAATTTATTTTTCGTTCTCTTTTTTTCGGTTTTTCTTTTGTGTTCTTGATTTATCAGGATTTTTTTAATTTTCCTTTTTGCTAATATTTTTTTGGTTACTTGTCAGGCTTTTCGTTGTTTTACCAATACTCTCTATGTCTCTCTCTCTCTCTCTCTCTCTATGTATATATATATATATATATATATATATATATATATATATATATATATATATAAATATAAAAAGTGAACATAGAAGTCAACACTTAGAGGCGACAGTCTGTTTCATGCTATATGCAATCGTCAGGCCACATATGCTGTTATTTTTCTCGGCTATTTATATATATACGGGTTAGTGGTGCATTGTGGGTATTCTATTATGGCGGTTATTTTACCGGAAGTCGTTTGTTTATTTATTTGGGTCAAATTATATTGCTCTAATATTATATATATATATATATATATATATATATATATATATATATATATATATATATATATTATTGGTAAATATACATACATATGCAAAATATATAAATACCCATACATGTATATTTTTTTAATAAAATTCCAAGAGGAAGAATCCAGGTAGAACTCAATGTCCAGGACAGAGTAAGGATATAATAAAAAGGCTTAAACACTAATATTCCATGGTCATAATTTATTCCATTGGAATTGTAAATACGATCCAATTCATCAGACCTACAAATTCAAAAAGAAAACAGAAAAAACAACTATATATATATAGGGTTGGGTGGATAAATTGTCGTCTAAATTGCGTAAAATGAAAATAACACTGACATCTCATTTTAATAGATATATTTACCAAAATTACGCAAAAATATCTTGAAATACTAAAGACTAAATTTATTCAATAATATCACCACTGGATTCAACCACAACGTCCAAACAACCTCGGAATCTCCTGCAACTCTTCTGGACGGTCTCGTTGGTTAAGTTGGTGAATGCTGCCATAATCCTTGCCTTCACTTTATCTTTCGGAGTTTTGATGGTTTCTTGCTCAACTGCTCAACACATAATAATCAATGAGGAATTAGGTTTAGGTGGCCAGATCAAAGGATTGATGCGGTTGCAGAAATTGTCAAACTGCCATGACTGGATTCTCCTGCTTGTTGGCATGTTGCAAATTTCTGTTGCCAGACATAGGGTCTTCCAACAGACACCCAGGACATCATTACCTCCTCAAGTCTTACCATCAAATTCGGGAGTTATTTTCTTATCAGAACGATCACAGTTAGTTTTCCGAGCTGCCGTGCCTTCGTAATCACCATTACGCTCATCCAACTCTTTCCGAATCCTTTGTGGGAAGATGAATGGAGGCATGCCGTCGACATCATTAGCGATCACTCCAAACACCATGCTGTTGACTGGATATATTACCGTACCCTCCGCACTGTTCGCAGACTGATGCTCAAACACTCTGAAATGTTCGTATTGGAACTTCCGGTGCGAATGCCAAGCAGTACAAAATGCCGTTTACAAATTTCTGGCGGAGTGAATTGTGTCAGGGCGTTCTTTTTTCTCACAGATGCTGCTCAATCGACCCGATATATATATATATATATATATATATATATATATATATATATATATATATATTTTTATCTATATACATACATATATATGTATACATATATATACACACATATATATATATATATACATATATATATATATACATACATATATATATATATATATATATATATATATATATATATATATATATTCTTCATTTGGCGGTGGCCTAAGAGAGTGCGGAAACTGTTGGGACAATAATAATATAGTCAGTTTCCTCTTAGTCGCCATTCGAAAGAAGGAAAACTGTAATAATACTAGAAAGTGTTAGTAAAAAAATAATGATAATATTTTCCTTGTCTGTCACATTCAATGAAACATGTATAAAAGAAGATTTGCTGCCTGAATACATATGCATGCACACACTTAGCAACATACACAAACATAGACACATATATGTCTAGTCGCACTGAGGAGCTGTGATACAGCGAAACAGTACTGTCTGCAAATGACATAATTTAGCTCTTGAAAATATATTTCAATTGAGCACTGTTGAGAGATAAGCTAATTCTATAAACAAGAGCTACCTGCATTAATGCAAAGCTCTTCAGTAAAATGGATTGGAGCACTCCAGATGATTGGCATTAGTTTACATTCGTAAAAACAATACGCTAGATTTAGCCGCGCATCTCCGCCGAGTGAAGATAGCTCAGATGTAGAAGCTCTTACTGACACCAAATCGATTGGGTTTCGATCCTGGCTTGAGGCATTCGGATGTCTAGTCATACTGAGTAGTTGTGATTCAGCGAAACAGTACTGTCTGTGAATATATATATAGATGGATAGATAGATATACAAAACTGGGCAGTGAAATCAACTCGCCACTCGGTGTTGACTTCAATGTCCACATTTACATGGTACTGAGCATTTTAACCCATAAATATAGCATACTTTAAAAACTATATTTTATAACGCACACACAGATATGTATATATATATATATATATATATATATTAAAGATATATATATATATCTAAAGATATATATATATATATATATATATATATATATATATATATATATATATATATATATATATATATATATATCTTAAAGAGCCAGGAATTACCCACCTAGACTGCACCTGAACGGATCTTCAGGGTAATCTGGTTAAAGAGGAAATGATTATCATATATATATATATATATAGTAACTCAGAAGATCTTGTTGTTCCCTAGCTTTACACTTTCGCTTTTCCGTGTAATCTACCTCAGTTTTCTATTTTTTATATATATATATATATATATATATATATATATATATATATATATATATACGAATGCGATAAACAAGACTCTGAAGAAATCATTATTATTAAAGAAAAAAAGAGAAACATTTTCAATATCCTAAGGAGAAATAGAAAGAAAGCGAAGAGTGTGAGAAGAAGCGGGGAGAGAGAGAGAGAGAGAGAGAGAGAGATAATTGCAATGATAAATTCAGCAACACTCTCTTATTTTATGACAGATCCAATGAAATGAAGAAAAAAAAAGTTCTTTTGAATGAAACATTTTTTAAATGACTCGTTGCCCTACGCAAGATCTCATGATTTTCTGCCATAATAAGTGACATAAAAAAAAAAACGAGAAAATAAACAAAGTCAGTAAAACATAAGATGGTGAGTGGATGAGAGAAAGTTTGGGTTAATAAGGGAAATAAAAAAAAAAGCCACAGATATTGTGGAGAAAAAGACTAGCTCATTACGTCTTTCACGAAATTCAAAATTTAAGTGATGGCCCCAGGTGTAACTCAAAATATATTATTATTATTATTATTATTATTGTTGTTGTTGTTGTTTTTGAGCATTACAAATTTATATTAATATTATTACCGTTACTAATATTTGTTGTTATTCTTGTTTTATTATAAGTATTAAACAGTTATAATTACCATTATTTTACTTGGAGGCACTGAAAGGCTCGCAGCCTGACCAAAAAGCCTTTTGTTTAATAAGCTTATATTGGTTCATTTGGTCAATTTTTCGGAAATGGAAATTTTTATAGCAGCTCTTTTATTAATTCAATTTTTGGTATTGTTATTAATTCTTAATGATATTATTATTGTTGTCACCGAATTATTATTATTATTATTATTATTATTATTATTATTATTGAGACTTGAATCCTCTCGACTCTTAGGTGTTTCAGCTGGGTGATGATGGTCATATCTCAGCTCCTGCCTGCAGCTTAGGGACAAAACACTTTCTTTAACACATGAACTGTTCCAAGCAGCGCTGCTACCTGCGCACTCCCAATAATGTCAGGTATCCCCAAGGCGTCTTAGCGAGGCAGAAAGATTCCTGGAAAGAAAAGGGCAATAGGAACTGCTACTTGGTTCATTTCTCTGATTTCTTCTGCCAAGTCTTGGTACCATCGTCTCTTCCGCTTTCACCATGTTCTTACCCCAAGGTACCGCGAGATCCATTCATAGCTGCTCTTTTGCCCAAGTGTGTCAGGGCGATTGCTATCCAAGCGCTTGTCAATTATAATAGTCGTATCCCACATGAGTTTCACTTACACATTCTCAGCTACTGACAGTATGGAATACACATATCGCATCCCTGCGCAATCGAGGCCATACTTCCTTCATAGTTCCCAAGGGATTCTAAGGGATATTTTGTCATGGCGTCGTCTGTACTCTTTTGGGGTCAGCTGAGTGCAGCTATGGGTAAATAGCAAGACAGACGGAGTTCTAGAGCATTAGTTGTCCAGTCTAAGAGAAGGAAAACTCTAAATTCAAACCCCTTACTGCCTTGTTGGTCCAGCCCATTCAATTTCTAAGAGGAGGAACTCGTTAACCTCAACATCTCTGGTGCAGAAGGAACCGGAAAGCCATTGCACTGCCTTGAATGTCATCATGGACCACAATTGTTAGATGGATGGGACTGGTAAACACAGCGGCACAAAATGAGCTAATGAATAAATGATGACAGTGGTGAGTGCAGCCAATGACAATGTGTTACACACTTTCTCTAGCTTTTCCGACTCAGCCCGCACAGGGGTAAATCTGCACCTCCGTAATGGAATTTCTTCTCAAAGACTGCACGGGTCATCTTCTGTTTCTTCTTCAAAAACGCATTTCTAAAAAACCTACATGATTCAGGATCTGCCAACCTCTTGTGTTTCTTGCGCAAAAATGCTCCGTGCCAGGCCTTTTCCTTCTATGCATCGACTTTTGCAACAGTCACCAAAGTGAACGGTATACGTGTTTCCAAGCTTAGAGACTTTACTACTTGTTAGTAGCAGTAGTAATAGGATTTTGACAGACATTCATCACAATAGGTACCTCCACAAATTTGCGATATTTAAGGTTTAAAATGAATTTTTTTAAAAATGAAAAATCTTTCTTGACGTTTTTATTTTAGTTTTAATTTTAAGCTAATAGATTAATATTTCTAATAAGCAAAATACTTTGCTCTATTTCAAAACTAATTTAGATTGACTGGAAGGATGATTTTTTGCGTTTTTGAGGGTTTTTTGTTTTGTTTTTTGCTAAAAAATCTTATTTTAGCGAATTTTTAGCCTGCGTTTTTCGCAATTTGAATCTCTTTATTAAAAAAGCTTTCAAAAATGAAATATACTTTTCTATGAGAAATATTAGCTGATTTAAAGTATAATTAATCTAATCTTATAATCGTTATTAATCTAATAATTAATTTTATTATTTACTTTAAGTTTAAAATATCGGATAAATGCACTTTTTAACACATTGTAGCTGTTTATTTAATCTGTTAATATGTTGACAGCTATATAAAGTATTGATGTTTATCTGATGTTGTTCTATGGGGATTTTCGTAATCCGACGACCTTCACACTAATCTCTTCATTCAGTGCGCCTTTTAGCATCCACTATTGGCTAGTCTGCAAGCACTCATGCAAGTACTTAAATTCTGACGTCACACATTCTTCTCCCTCGCCCCTTTCAAACTTATTTCGCCTTCTTTTCGGTATAGCTAGAGTTTGGCTGTATTACTCTGAATATATAAGCACCTGTTCATGGTGATTATGGTCCTTGTCTTTCGGTCAAAGTTTCTGTTGCACCGGCCTCTAACACAAGGGAATTACACCGGTTCTCACTATATATAGTGTCAGTAATACCTACCCGGGGTAAGCAGCGACAGTACTACAACTGCCTAGCTGAGTAGTACCCGTTACCTACCTTTGTATCTGTGATGTTAAATACACTTGTTCTTTAAACCCATTTCGACTTGATTTTCTTATTTTTACAATTGTGCCACGACACAACAGTTTGATAGCTGCTCCTTCGTCCATTTAACTGCTCCAGCATTCATACCTGAAAAACAAATACCTATCATTCTACTTGGATCTACGAAGATTACTTACAAGCCAAATATACTCCTCTCATATTCGTGATTTCATCTTGTCTCTAAGAATTCTGTTGAGCAGTAGAATTCTAAGCTACTTATAAACATCGCTATTTCATTTATAGTTTCTTTTCTTTTACTATCCACTGTTGCTCCCTTCTTCATTTTCAGCACCTCACTCTTATCAAGACCAAATGACCCTCCTGATATCATGGAAGCATATGCTCACGGTGCTTATCAAGGCCTCCAACTGGTCATTATTGGTACCATGCATCTTAATATTATGAATCAGGATCATCGGCAGCAATGATTTCACGCTTGATTTGTATTTCGTCAAGTGATTTCATCTTATCACTGAGAGTCCTCTCTAGCTGTAGAACTCTTATAACTTATAACCATCACTATCTACTCCCTTTAGAGTTTATTTTCTTTTACTATCCACCGTTGTTCCCTTCTTCATTTCCAGCACCTCACTCTTATCAAGACAAAATGACCCTCCTGATATCATGGAAGCATATACTGACGGTGTTTATCAAGGCCTCCAACTGGTCATTATTGGTAGTATACGCCTAAATATCATGAATCAGAGTCAACGGCAGCAATGATGATCACAAATCCCAGTGGAGATAACTAGTCGACCTGAACCATCTCACGCTTGATTTGTACTTCACCAAGTGATTTCATCTTGTTCCTAAGAGTCCTGTCCAGCAGTGGAATTCTCTGGTACTTATAACCATCGCTATATTCTCCCTTTATAGTCTCTTTTCTTTTACTATCCACAGCTGTTACCTCCTTCATTTCCAGCACCTCACTCTTATCAAGACCAAATGAGATCCTGATATCATGAGAGCAAAAGTTAAATGTTTGTCAACGATTCTAACTGGCCATTATTGGTAGCATACGACTTAAGATCCTTCATGCATAACAGGTAATTGTTGGGCTGTTTCTGATTCTTTGTAAACTTATAACCAGATTTCATCCTAATGTGAATCAGAGCCAACGGCAGCATGAGAATCACAAATCCCAGCGGAGATACCGAATCAACTTGAAACATTTCACGCTTGATTTCTACTTCGCCAATGGATTCCATCTTGTCACTGAGAGTCCTCTCTAGCTGTAGAACTCTCAGGTACTTATAACCATCGCTATCTATTTCCTTCATGGGTTCTGTCCCTTTGTTATCCACCTTTGTTCCCTTCTTCATTTCCAACACCGCACTATTATCAAGAACAAATGACATCTTGATATCATGGATGCATATGCTGACGGTGTTTATTAAGGACTCCAACTGGTCATTATTGGTAGGATATAGCTTAAGATCATTCATGAATAACAGGTTATTTGATTAACTATTTCTGATCTTTTGTAAACTTGTAGCCAGAGTTAAACCAGACTTAACTAGAGTCGACAGCAGCACAGAGATCTCAAATCACAGCGGAGAAAGAGATATGAAAAATATTGCGATTGTTTCATACTTCAAGTTGTTATCTTCTTCTTCTTCATCTTCGTCATCTTCTTCTTCTTCTTCTTCTTCTTATTATTATTATTATTATTATTATTATTATTACTATTATTATTATAATACAGTTTTCAACTGCTCACTTATTAACCCAAGTTCATCTCCTGGATTTGGGATTACCACGAATGGTGAATTTATTTGATGATCAGTCATTTAAGTGCCATACGTGATACACGTTTGGATGTCCATGTCTCTTTCGATTCATGGCTGTCAAAGCATATGATTTTTCACGCAGTAGGTTGCCGTTTCTTTCTCCGGCAGACCGGCAGCCAAACAAGGCTATAGCACCCAGACTACCCTGCTATTCCACCTGAAGCTATCAATCCATCTTTACTACCCATACCTGATTGAGAGATGGCTTCATATCTTTCCCAAGGTTATTTGCGCGTAAGTGAATGCAACGAACCCGACTGGAATTCGAACTCGGCTCTCCAATTTCTCCACCGATTAGCATTGGTATTGTTATGGTTTCCGTGTTCCATATTAGTTTCTTTTTCTAGAGACCCGTTTCTTTCGGTGAGGAAAAGAATGTCGAGGAGCAGACAAATCCTTTCCTTCCGGTCCTTCTACTATACAAGGTCTGTTCATTTGTTTTGAATGGCATATCCCAGAGAATTCGCCGTTTTCACGTTACACTTGATGGCTAATTAGCATAATATTTCTCTGAATTTGGTGTTATGTTTTTAGCCTTCTTGTTTGTTTTACGATCTGCCTCCAAGTTTCAACCTCAAATCTCAAGAGAGTTCAAGATCGTGATTGTTAGTACAATTAGTTGGATTTCCTGCCGATATTCCCAGCATCATTTTTCGTAATTGCATAATGTTATATGATTGTGCATATTAGTTTAGACAGAAATGACATCATGACATTTTCCATTGCGCAACTTTAAAAAATAATTACATATTTTACATAGATAAAACCCTTCGTAAGGTGTGGGCTGTACTCGTGAGAAAAATTTGTTGTATTATTATTTTTATTTCCTTTGATTTTTGTTCTATACTCATTTCCTTCCATAGATCAAAAATGTCTTCATGGCATTTTTCACTGATCATTTTTATATAAAAAAATTAAATTAAAAAATAAATTTAAAAAAAAACTAAGATCACACACATTTTACAAATATAAAGCTACTCGTAATATGTGAGCTGTATTTGTGGGTAAACTTTTTTTGTATTTTTTGATACTGTTGGGGCGCACCCACCTTCTAACTAGTAATGGACTGGTCCCTCTTATATAAGTCAGCTCTGGAGAGAGAGTGACAGAGCGTCAGAGAGAGAGTCAGCGTGAGCAGTCCAGATAAGCTTACCCGGTACATACCGTTGGACTATAGACTTTGGATATTGTTTCGTACTAACCAACCTTCGTTCTACTAATCACTCTATTGTTAATTGCTTTTATGAATATACCAGTATTTTCCTCTACAACTGTGTTTGTCTTGATTCATACACCAACACGTGGGAAACTCACAACATCTCAGGTACTAACAAATCTTTTTAAAAATCATATTAGGTTGGTGCAAAAATAATGACGTAATAATGTCGTTTTTGACCTTAAAAATACGTCAAAACACGACATTATTACGTCATTATTTTTGCACCAACCTAATAATTTCCTTTTTTTATCGACAAGCATTCGATCTGTTAACACAATTCCTAGTTGATCAACACCTATGTACATACACTTTCTATCCTAACTTGTTATTCATAATAGAATCGGGTCTAAGCGCTGTTTCAATTCTGTTGATGACAATTTCACTGTTATTTTATACCCGCTGACCTTTCATATCAGTACCGATCGTAACATGTTATCAGCACGAAGATTAGAATAAGCAAGTCGGGTTCAAATTCCAACTAATTTTGGGAAAGGCATAAATTCATCTCTTTTTCTTTTCGTCCTCAGTCATATAGTGACTAGAAGTGCAGAGTGTACTCACTAACCTTGAGTAGCAACCAATCTAGGAGAATCATCACCGCCATCACCAGTTTCAGGTGTGGTTTTAGGGTCGCTACGCAGCTGAGCCCCCGACTAGTTCCCTCCACATATCTGTGTTCAAAGCCGGAGAAGTATTAATTCGTGCGCAGCGTTTCTTGGGTATGTAGTCCTGGCGGAGCCCATCCCTCTCCGGGTCAAGCCGCTGCCGATTTCCTCCAGCTTGAAGCCATCGCCCGTTAATTTCAATCTAGGAAGCCCTTCGCCCAAAGATGCCTAGAAATCGCCTCACGGGCAGCATCCATAGCTATGGGACCCAGTCTATCCTCCATTGTACTATATGGCCGTTGACCCTACAAGAAGGTTCATCCGCCACCGCCACCGGATATTTTTTGTCTCTAATCCTGCTAGGTGTCTGTCCACCCTCCTCACCAGAAAAGCCTGGCGGGGAAACCGGTTTAGTCATCGATTAATCGACCATGCTGCAGATAGTACTCGGTTACATGGTACCAGTAGCTCTCGTAGACGTAATTTATGACAACGAAAATCATTTCACTGACATTCCCCCAAAAGTCACAGTAATTCACATATAATAAAGAAAAAGAATTCGTGGAGAGCCATGATCCCTTAAGTCCTGAAAGGACTTGGCATTAAAAAATATAAAAGAATATGGGTAACGTATTAGTTATCAGCACAGAAAAATGTAATCAACAAGTTGAGTTCAAATTCTAATCGAGTCTCCTTACGCGCCCACTTACGCGCCGATACAATAGGGAAAGGCATGAGTTCATCTCTTCCCTAAACACTAATTAGGAGGTTAAATAACAGTATAAGCTGTGCTCTTTAGCATAGGATGGAGGCCAGACGAAAATTGACTGATTTATTCATTTTCTACAGCTTATCAACACTTTGCAGATTATTTAAAGCCAGAAAATATTTTTTAGATAATAAGAATTTTTTGGTGGGGGTGGGGAGATAATAATGATTTAGTAATACAAGTCTTACTATTTAACCCATAACTGGGCGGAGAAGAAGGGGATTCATACCTTTTTCAAAGAGTATTTGCGCGTAAGTGAATATAACGAACCCAACTCGGCTCTCCGATTAACAATTCCAAACCATTATCCATTACACCAACCGCACATCCAAACTTACAATACCTGGTATTCTCAAGCGGTTACCCATCTAGGTACTGACCAGGCTCGACGTTGTTTAACTTCGGTGATTGTACGGGAACCGTTATTTCAACGTGATATGGCTATAAGCTTGCCAGTCTAAAAGAAGGACTACTCTGAATTCAAAATCGTGGTGAAGGCAACGAGAAACTACAGTCGTTCCTTGGAAGTCATTGGCACTTCATAGATAATAAAGGAAGCTGCGGAGAGGTATGATCGCCTACGTCATGGTTGGATATTGTATTAAAAACGCATCTTGTGGCTAACGCTGGAGATCAAGTGACAGGCAGTCGGCTTAATATTCCATAATCCCCGTTCTAAGTATTCTTATTGATTTTAATAATGGTATCGATTAATTGGTTGCTATTCTTCTCGCTATCTCTTTTCCCCCTCATTTCCCCCCCCTCAATGCCTAGATATTTTTGATCGAAACATCTCTCACTTTCACTTCCATAACCCCTCTCTATTTCTATCTTCTTTCTCGCTCGCTCTCTCTCTCTCTCTCTCTCTCTATATATATATATATATATATATATATATATATATATATATATATATATATACCATCTTCCTCACTCTCTCTATCTTCTCTCTTTTCCCTCTTCCTCTCCCTCTCACCCTGTCAATGTCTAGATATTTTTTTGATCGAAACATCTCTCACTTTCACTTCCATAACCCCTCTCTATTTCTATCTTCTTTCTCTCTCTCTCTCTCTCTCTATATATATATATATATATATATATATATATACATCTTCCTCACTCTATCTTCTCTCTTTTTCCCTCTTTCTCTCCTCTTACCCTCTCAATGTCTAGATATTCTTGATCGATACAACCTCAACATTACTTTCTATTTCTATCCCCCCCTCTCTCTCTCTCTATATATATATATATATATACATATATATATATTTTTCACTCTCTCTCTCTCTTTATATATATATATCTTTCTCTCTCTCTTTTCACCTCTTTCTCCCCCTCTTACCCTCTCAATGTCTAGATATTCTTGATCGAGACAACTTCACTTCCACAATCTCTCTCTATCTCTTCTCTATCTCTTCCCTTTCCCCCTGTCTCTCTCTCTCTCTGTCTCCCTCTCTCTCAGTCTCAACGTCTAGATATTCTTGATCGATAAAACTGTCACTTTCACTTCCTCAGTCTCTCCCTATCTATCTCCTCTTACCCTCACCTTCTTATTGATATCCACAATTTGACATATGTTTTTTTTTTCTGTTGTTTGCAGTTATTAATTTTGACTTACTGGCAGATGTCACCAGATGGATCCTGTATTTTACACTCATTTCGCTACATAAGGCCATATAACTTTTATCTTATATTAACAAACGGAAAAAAACTAAAAAAAAAAAAAAGAAAGATAAGTGTACTCAACTGTTATGCAATATCAATTCCCCGATATGACATTGAAATGACAAATCTCCTCACAGATGAAGCGGAGACTTGAGACCACGGAGATGTGGTTCTACAGAAGGCTCCTGAGAATATGAACTGAACATATGAGCAACGAAAGAGTATTTTAATATTATTATTTCATCCCAAGCGAAGCAGTAATGCCATTACGACACAAGTTACTGGGAGTGAAAAAGAAGATATTAGTGAGGAAAGACAATAAAAGATCAAGTTTCAGGAAGACAGAAGATTGCACTTGACGTTGAATTTAAATTTTTGAAGATCGTAGGTGGCAGGAAAGCAAGAAACTGGAAGAGAGTTCCACAGGCGATAAGTGCGAGAAAAGAAATTATTAGAATAGAACTTACGGTTACATCGAGCTATTTTCAACAGTAAAAATGATGAGACCTAATTGCCAATCTAGTAACACGTTTAAATTCATGTGGTCGAGGTTCCAAAATGGAGATCTCAATTGCCATAATATATTTATAGACAAGACAGAAGGAAGCCACGTCACAGCGGTAGGAAAGTGACTAAACTCGAGATGCCAGTTAAGGACCAATAACATTACAGATCCCTCTTTTGATTTTCTCGAGAATATATAACAGAAACACCAGACTAGATGTATCAGCAACATTCAATGCACGGCCGAATGGTAGATTTATAAATGTGCAAGATGGAGTCTGTCGAGCGAAATAATCTGACATAACACAATTAACAAGCTTCCCTGGCAGCAGACCTAGCAATTAAATGAAAGGAAAAAAGATACTTGTCCTTAGAATCAGAGAGAAACAGTTGAAATTTCTAGGGCACTAAATGAGGAAAGAAGGCTTGTAGAAGTTGACACTCACAGAATATATTAAAGGCAGGCGGTGCAGAGAGGAAACAGAGAGGAAGGTAAGCAACGTTACATGCTTGTGTAAATGGATTGTAGAACATGAAAAAGGTGTGGTAGTAAGGAGACAATAATCGCTTAGGGTTACAAGGTATGGGAAGATATGGAGAGCCATGATATGGCCAAAAATGGAATACTGCTGTCATATCTGGACTGAAGCTGCCCAATCCTCGTTTTCTAGAATTCAAAAGCATTTATACAGCCTTGTGGGCGATGGATTATTTTCAAACCTACAATCCCTTTCCCACAAACGAAACGTCATGAGCCTCTCGGGATTTCCATAGCAAATGTTCAGACGAGCTGCCTTCTTTAGTTCCACCAGATATTTGATGCTAGGATCCACCTTGACACGTATGCAGGGTCGAATCGTCTTGCTTTCCCCAGTATTCCATTTGTAAGGAGGAAGTTCCACTCAGACAGCTTCTTCTCGAAAACTGCTACGTTGTGGAACAAACTCCTGAATGATACTTGCTTGATCATTGAAACGTGTTAACCTTTTCAAGTCAAGGGTCAGCTATCATCTACCCTATACATCCTCATAATATATATTTATTGACTCCTCTTCAATTCAACAACCTTATTCGGAGAGCCGAGTTCGAATTCCACTCAAATCTATTACATTCACTTAGGTGCTAATACACTTGGGAAAGGTATGAATTCTCTTCTTCTCACCCCCCCCCAGCTATGGGTAAATAGCAAGACAGACTGAGTTCTGGATGGCAACTGGTCTACCACAGAAAGAAATGGCAACCTACTGTAGGAAAAATTCTGCCTCGTCAGTCATGTATAGAAAGATATATGTTCTAGTCGAACGCACCTATTCTATAGTTAATAGACTCTCCCACCTATAATAAGTAGGAGTAGTAAGAGTAACGAGGGAGTCGGTCAGTCAATCGACTGGCTGATCGGTTGAACTCTCTGCTTTTGGGCGAGGAGGAACCCGAAGGAGGCTACGCCGAAGGGCGGATTCTCTTTCGGGGAGGTAAACCGACTCTGAACCCGTTTATACGGGTTCAATGGGCATATTTTTGGCCGAGCCCACGGGCTCGGAGACCCCACGTTAAAAAGGCCTTGTGCCACATGACGCCCTCGTGGGGGGGGAGGGGTGACTGAATATCGTCGGTGAGTCAGTCAGTCGGTCGGTGAGTCAGTCGATGTCGGACGACAGTTAGTCGAATACTAAAGTATCAGCGATCACAACTAGATTACTCTGCGTAATGCTTATTATATCAAGTTCCTAACGTTTTGTACGTCGAACCTATTTTAGGATCAACTTAGTACAAATACAAGCCTCCACAGTGAAATTACTCCACAACAATATATGATCGCCTAAGCGTGTATCACGGATGGTACATAACTGACTGATTGGGAGAACATTTAGTAAAAAAAAAAAAAAAACGACCAGAAGGGATATGGATTTTGATGGAACAGCAGAACAGCGATATTTACGATTTGACACATCTTCTTTTCTTTCTTTACAATGATTAGATTTGGTCTGCTTGCAGAGATAACACTATGGGTATCTTGTATTTTATTGGGATTTCTCGGCATATAAAAAGCTATTTCTATTGATCTTCTTGAAACCTGTTTTCATTCTCCTGTGTTGATTTCTCTTAACAATCTTGTCCAGCCACTTGGCCTTGAGTTTTCTATTCTACCAAAGAGCTTTATCCACTGCACTTATTCCCGAATGCTCTCCCGCGAAAAGCTCAATGCAGATACTGACAGATGAAGAAGGATGCCATTGTTTCCCACTCCTTCTTGTTACTTTAGCATCGCAGTCAAAACCGGCAGAAGCAATAAGTATTTTTCCATTAAGATCTCCCAAACATCCTTGCTATTAAGACACTGTGTTAAGATAAAATCGTTCCCTCGTCTACAGGAAAATCAATGCCGCTTCGCTTGCTGTAAAACTCGCATCAATTGCAAAGAGGAAACGTCAAGGCTAATCACTTAAGATAGTCAAAGAGGAAAAGACACGGATGGAACTAAATAAACGAATTGAGTTTTGTTCTTCTTCGGGACATTTCCACAAGAACATTTCGCTGTCTCATTTCAGGCGTTAGCTTTGCGGATATTAGAGAGGGCAAGTCAAAAATCCAAGGATTTGCTTTGATCGTATTGTAATATTTCGAAAGACTCATTATTTCGTTTTTTTACGGCTTGTCAACCTTTTGCTGGTTATTTAAAGCCAGAAAATATTTTTACATTGTAAGATGAATTTTTTCTTTGGAGATGATAATGACTTAGTGGTACAAGTCTTACTAATTAACCCATAGCTGGGAGGAGAAAAGTTGAATTCATACCTTTCCCAGTGGTATTTGTGCGTAAGTGAATATAACGAACAGAACACAACTGGAATTGAAACAATTCCGAGCCATTAGCCATTGCACCACCCATCAAAGCTTACCCGTATTCCCAAGCGGTCACCCATCTAGGTACTGACGAAGATCGACATTGCTTAACTTTGGTGATCGTACAGGAACTAGTGTTTCAACGTGATGCAGCCGTAAGCGCTTTTTTAGATAGTTATTTCTGATTTGTTTGATTTTTTTTATCTTTTATACGTTGTGCTGTAACATACTAGTGTGTGGGTAGCGTAATGGTTATTGGTGCGAAAAATGGAATAGCTTCTGGTTTTGTTGCGTTCTCCTTTTTACTAGTACCTTCTGGAAAGGCATGAATCCATTTCCTCCCTACGACCAGCTATGAGTTAAATAGTAGGGTAGACTGTTATCGTTGTAGACTAATAAGAACACGATACTAAATCTTTTTAAGGAAAAGTATCTTTTATTCACTTCTTGACTTCGTCAGTTAATGTCGACGTGACGGTGTGCGGTTTCGGCCACTTTCTTCATTTGTTGATCTTTTTCGAGAGGACGTGAGAGACTCTGGTTTTTCCTTCCTGGGTGGTGTGTTTATTAAAAAAATCCCTGTCACCCGATTTTCCCGTAGGTGCAAATCATAAACTCACCTGGGTTGTCCGGGTTATTTGTATGTCGGCAGCAATCTCTGACAACCTTTGAGGTTATATTTAAAATAAACGAGGATTAATTGTATTTGGGGGATTTTTAATATTGTATTTAAAATAAACTGACCTAAAACTATAAAAAAAAAATTATATATGCTCAACATAAGATAATTAAACAGAAGAAAATTAAAAAAAAAAGAAGAGGTTATAATCTACAGTATCAATTAAACTGGATCAACTTATTTATTTGCCATGTCAATAAGAACATTCTGTTTTTGTAATTTTTGATCAGGATGCTTTGTTTCTTCTGTCTGTATATATTGCAAATTCCCATAAACCTATCACAGGTCATATCTCTGTAACCGGGTCTGAGTGATATTTATACGAATTTCTTACAGCTTCCTTCCCATAAAAGTTCCATATTTTCTAGTGCGGATATTGGCTCATTCTATCATACCGCGTTTTATATTTATTTGGTGCTAACGCTGTGCAAACTGATTCAAGATGGTCAATTGTTTCTGAATATTTATCACAGAATCTTCATCTGTTGTGAATACAATTTTTCAGTATGTGTGCTTGGTAATTTCTAGTTAGCAAACATTGGTCCTGTGCAGCAAGAATTAAACCCTCGGTTCCAGCTTTTAACTCTACGCTACGTAACCACTGATAGGTAAGGGGTTTGTCTAGATCAGCTTGTTTGGTAATGGCAGAATATTGGCCACGAAGAGGCTTCTCTTGACAACATTTCTGCATTTAGTACATTGCATTTGCTTTTGCTTTCTTTTTTAGGTTCTTTGGCGCTGCAGTAAACGTATTATGGTTTATTTGCACTTTTTCGCCCACTTGAAATTTTATTTCGAATTTCTTGGCTTCATTTATTACTGAATAAAGTTTCTTTTAAATTATTATTATTACTATTACAAAACAAAATGATTGACGTAACTCTACCAATATTTTCGTAGATTGATATATTTTAATACCTGAAACTTTCTTTAAATATAACTTGAAGACAGAAAATATTGTTTAACATTGTCAGTTTTCTTCTTAAAATGGCGCTCTTCTCTTTAGTATTATTATTATTATTGTTGTTGTTGTTGTTGTTGTTGTTGCTGTGGTTGTTGTTGTTGTTGTTTTGGGTGTCGTACATTGGCGTAGATAATGGAAATTCTGTTCTTGAGGCATGTTACCAAAAAGATTCTTCACAACTGAACTTTGCGGAGGATCTTCCTGGATTAAATTATAGCAACTTTCTGGAGGTTTACAATCTTCCACTTCCAATCTTCCCTCATCGTTCTTTCCATTACTAGAAGAATTACACAAAAACAACCGTCCTGTTCCATAAGTTTTTTTTTTTTTTGTTCACCTCCTTTGCCAGATATTGATATTTTTCAATCATTTCATAATCTTTGGGGTTCACTCTTGTATCTTATGAAAGAACAAAATGATTTAACACTTGCTTATCTTTAACAATAATGCCGAAACTTCTGTCTTTTTTTTTTTTTTTTTTTAAGCATTGTGCCCCAAGCAAGGCGTGAAGCCACTAGGATGCAGGGGGTTGCGGAAGATTTGGAGCGAGAGCAGATAAGAGTGATAGGAGAAAGGAAGAGGAGAAGGATAGTGGGTAGATCAAGGTAATTGGAGATGTCGATTGACATTACTTTTAAATATTTGGAGATTATAGCTTTCAGGGAAACAGTAATTGGGGAGGGTGTTCCACTGGCGAGAGATGCGAGGTATGAAGCTATTGGAGTAGAAGAGACGGCTACATTTGAAGGTTTCTACGGTGTAAGGGTGAGAGCGGGTGCCAGCCACGTAGGGCGCTTGAATTCATGGAGTCTGGGAACCAGAGAGAGCAGCTCATCAGAGCAGTTACCATGGAAGTAGAAAAGACAGTGAGAGGCGACGGCGCGTCTGTGAGAGAGTGACTGCAAACAAGACGCTAGATCAGGGCCAATTAGATTACATATCCTTCTCTGGATCTTGTCAAGAACTCCGAGGTAAGCAGAAGGTGCTCCAGCCCATATATGACAGCAATACTCCATGCAAGGGAGAATGGTTGTTTTGTATATTTGAAGTATCGATTCATGGGAGAAAAATTTCCTGGCGCGGCACAGAGAGCCAACTTTCCTCGCGGTGGAAGAAGCAATTGACTCAATGTATTTGTTCCATCTCAGGTCAGCAGTCAGCATGAGACCGAGCAGACGCAGGGAGTTGCTCTCAGGAAGTTGACTATCAGACATTTTAATGGGGGGCAGGGAAGGATCTCTATGGTGGTTAATGGAGAGTAATTTAGTTTTGTGGCGTTAAAGTTGACCAGCCAATTCTTGCCCCAGTTAACAACCGATTGGAGGTCCATTTCAAGACGCACGGCAAGGTTAGTTTTGTCGCCGACACTAGACTTGTTTTTGAGGCAGGAGTAAATTGTAGTGTCGTCTGCATAGATGCCGACTTGGGAATCTGAACCGAGAAATCTCATAATACCTCGTGACTGTCCTTTTCTAATGATTGATGTTCATAATATTTGTCTTTCACATTGAAGCCAAATTTACGGCATAACTGCCAATAGATTTTTTAGATTCTCGTTCATTATACTCCTTCAGTGAGTATGTGGCTGTCTCATCATCTTGTTCACACATCCTGCATTTGCTTTCTTCTTCTGATTTGACTGTCTTGGCCTTCGTTCCTTCTGATGGCCTGCTCTCTTGCTGCAAATATAAGTGACTATGTTTCTCTCTTTATAGACTCATCTTTCACCCAAAACCATCTCTCAGATCCAATAGTTGGCTCTGTTTAGGGAAAAAAAAAAAAAAAAAACGGACAATGAAGCTCCTTTTTTTTTTTTAACTTGTTATGCCGCTTCTCTTTCTGCTGTTTCTCTGCTATGGTGGTTCAATGGCTCAGTTTTTCACGCTTCCAGATCCCCATCCATCCTCCGTGCAGCTGTAAGAAGAAATGACAACTCTCAAGTCCCAGAACACCCAATGACACAACTTCTTCAACACTTATTAGCCCCATGCCCCCCTCCTTTCTTAGAATATACAGCCTGTTATCATCACTGTTTGTATTCAGAGTGTTATGCCTTATTCGTCAACTTTCGCCTTCTTCTAGCCATCTCTTCTAATTCTGTATAATTCCAGTCTAAGAATACTGCAGAAAAGCGTTGCAGAGAGATTGCCTAAATATTAATTCCGTTGATTAATTTGTACCATTTAGTCTTGTTTCAAGAATCATCATCATCATCAACTTCATTATTGTTATTAATAATAATATTGCTATTATGATGATGATTATTATTACATAATGTATATTCGAGATTTTTAAGAAGACAGTAACCAGTCGGGGGAGTTCACGTCATTCAACGCGGTCAAGGGTAAAGGTCAGCAAGTGAAATTAGGTGATGAAGTATTGAAAGGAGACTGAGACTCATATGGGAAATTTATGAAATTCTTTGTCTGAATTCTTAATAAAAAAAAATAAATAAATAAATTAAAAAAATGGGGAGTAATACAGTTTATTCTTCGATTCATTGTCAATCCCTTGGGAGATAATGAGTCGAAATCGTTCGATACCAGTGCTTTGTTGGCAGGAAGAAAAGAAAAAAGTGAACGACTTCGTTTAGATGACCTCTGAGAAAGAAGAAAAAGTCCTATTTTCCTACATACCACGCAATAAATATATGGAAAAAAAAGGAATGTAGATTAAATAAAAGAAGAAATAAAGAAAGTATTCGTTAATTAAAAAAAGAAAAGAAAATTTGAACAAAAGAAGAAAAATCGAAAAAAAGAAAGTAAAGAATTACAGAAAAAGAGAGAAAAGAAACGATTCCTGGAAGTTTATATTTTGTTAAGACTTGTCGCGAAAGAAAGTAAAAAAAAAAAAAAAAAAAAAAAACAATAATGGACACGCTTGACCCCAGAGGACAAGGGCCTGGAAAAATAAATGACCTCAACAAGGGCAGAAGTATTTTTACAAAGACAAATTTTCTCGTGTCGACAAATGTTGCAGTAGTCAGAAAACGTTTTTGTTATCAAGAGTGCTTTCGTTTATATTATTTTTTTTTTTTTAATAAACCGATAATTACTTTACTATTTGTTGCCTTTGTCCTGAGCATGACGATAAACCACATCCGGCAGCAAGGCCGCTGATCAGGAAATTGGAGGTTTTCAGAAGCATCGAACCACCTCTTAACTGTTGTTGTTCCCAGGTTCACCCTGACCCGGGGTGGTAGCACCTGTTAGGGTCCTAGCTATAGTCAAATAATGAACATCCAAACAAAAATCAACATTACATTTTTTAATAAAATTACCAACAATGCATTTTTTTTAGCAATGGCAGACCACTTGTATCCAAGGAAGCCTGTCTACTTGGGCGGCTAACCACCCCTATTGCAGACGCCTGCTCAGGCACATTTGCGTTTGTTAAACACCCACAGAGCCCATCTGTGGTTTATACTGCAATGATGCTGAGTGGACTTTACAGTTCTTGCGAGAGAGCGCATTATCTGGCGTGATTAACAGTGTGAACACGGTCAGTACGCTCAAACACTCGGTCACGATGACTTGCAACTTCGTGCTAGGTCAACTATCGACTGTTCCTAAATAGTTCCATCTAGTCAATTTCACTCGCAAGGCTTGGATCAATCCATTGTACTGTTTTCAACCGCTTTCCAAATGTGCCACACGATAGGATCGCTTCTACAGGCCGATAACATCAAGAGGTCACCGTCCTGACAAACTGAACATGTTGTGAATCGAACCCGGGTCTCATTGTCAGAAAGCAAACGTCTTAACCACTCGTTCACGTGCCACAATTTTTATAGTAAAATGACCAACAATACATTTTTCTAGCAAAACTAGCTGAATTACCCGCGTCTTGCTGTGCCTCACACATTTTTTGTAAGAAATTGATTTTAAATCATTGTTATAATTTGTGGAGAAAAATGATCCATCAGTGATCTTGCCGATGTGACCTTCATCTTCTGGCTTTCTCCTTCTATATTTTGGATAGGAGTCATTGCCTTGTTCAAATATAATTTTAATTTAAATCAAAGGGAAAACAATTTTCAGTAGGTGGTTGTGCAAAAACAGCTTGATCTGACCCCTTTGATATATATCTAATTGTTGACTAATGCATGGAATAATAATACAACACAAAATGTACTTAGAACAAAATGTATTGAAACAAGAAAGGTACACAATATTTACATATAGTCTTTTGTATATTCTTGGGAAGACCGTTCCTGGAGAATGTGTTGACTTAGTCGCAGTCGGGCAGAGTCTCTGGATTGAATCTCTTGATTCCTCCCCTCGTCTTCCCGGTACCAACCATATTTATATGGTCGGTACTCCACTATGCAAATTAGGTGGATCCTACCATAACACTAATGCAATTACCAAGCTCTTCAGAATAACGGAGAAGCTCGTGCCGTGGCCCTAGATATCTCCAAAGCGTTTGATAGGGTTTGGAATGCCGGCCTTCTTTGCAATCTCCATTGTTATGGTATTACAGGTCGATTGTTTGACTTAATACAATCATTTCTGTCAAACCGTGAATTGAAGGACGTTCTCAACGGATTCTCCTCCAGCTCCTATCCCATGAACGCAGGTGTTCCCTAAGGCTCCATCCTAGGCCCTACTCTGTTCCTTATCTTCATCAACGATCTTCCTGACGTCATAGATTCCCAAGTAGGCATCTACGCGGACGGCACTACAATTTACTCCTGCCTCAAAAACAAATCTAGTGTCGCTGACAAAACTAACCTGGCCGTTCGTCTCAAAAAGGACCTCCAATCGGTTGTGAACTGGGGCAGGAATTGGCTGGTTAACTTTAACGCCTCAAAAACAAAACTGCTCTCTATTAATCACCACAGAGATCCTTCCCTGTCTCCCATTAGAATGTCTGGCTCTCAACTTCCCAAGAGCACCTTTCTGCGGCTGCTCGGTCTCACGTTGTCTACTGACCTGAGATTGAACAAATACATTGAGTCAATTGCTTCGTCCACCGCAAGGAAAGTTGGCTCCCTGTGCCACACCAGGAAATTTTTCTCCCCGGAATCGATCCTTCAAATCTACAAATCAACAATTCGCCCTTGCATGGAGTATTGCTGCCATATATGGTCTTGAGCCCCTACTCTTTGCTTTGGGGTTCTTGATAAGATCCAGAGACAGATATGCAATATAATTGGCCCTGATCGTCTACAGTCGCTCTCTCACGGACGTGCATCGCTTCTCTCTGTCTTTTTTACAAATACTTTCATGGTAATTGCTCTGATGATCTGCTTTCCCAGACTTCGCAAATTCAAGCGTCCTACAAGGCTGGCATCCTTTCACAGTTGAAACTGTTAAATGTAGCCGCCTCTTCTATTCCAATAGCTTCATATCTCGCCCCTCTCGCCTGTGGAACTCCCTTCCCTATTCCTGTTTCCCTGATAGCTATAATCTCTAACTATTCAAATGTAATGTCATTCGACATCTCCAGTTGCCTTCATCTATCTCCTCATCCTTTCCTCTATCATTCCTACCTGCTCTCGCTCCAAATTCTCTATAACCCCTTGAGTGCTAGTGGCTTCCCGCCTTGCTAGGGGGGAAATGCTGAAAATAAAAAATAACTGATTGAATGAATTGATGAGCAGATTTCAACATTGATATGTCAGTTGAATTGTCGCAACAATAAAGCACTACCCACTGATTAGTGATCTCTTGCTCAACTTGACGTCTATATTGTCTCATTTTGATCCTGCCCATGTGACCTCCATCTTCTGGCTTTCTCCTTCCATATGTTGGATAGGAGTTATTGCCTTGTTCAAATTTAAATTTAATTTAAATCAAAGGGAAAAAATCAGTGGGGGTTTTGCGCCTCCCGGTTGAACCCCTTTGATCAAAATGAAATATACTTATTCAAGTACACAATGAGTCATTCCCTTGTTCAAATTTAAATATAATTTATAACAAAGGGAAAAAAATTTGCAGTTGGGGATGTAAACACATAACCCCCCACCCCGGGAATACTGTTTGAACTAAATGAAGTATACTTATCCAAGTAACCTGAGTAATGTAATTTCAGAATATATACGGATATGAGTGTTTATCCCTAAAACCCTAGGTGGAGTTCGATAAACAAACAGGCAGACAGAATCTACAACTTTATATATATATATATATATATATATATATATATATAGAGAGAGAGAGAGAGGAGAGAGAGACAGATGACAATACAACACTAAAAAAGGGATAAAATACATGTTTATATTAGGTTGGTGCAAAAATAATGACGTTAATGTCGTTTTTTGACGTATTTTTAACGTCAAAAACGACATTATTACGTCATTATTTTTGCATCAATCTGAACTATTATTGAATGCAAAAATAATGACGTAATAATGTCTTTTTTTACGTATTTTTTAACGTCAAAAACGACATTATTACGTCATTATTTTTGCACCCACCTTATAGTAAAATATACTAACAATACATTTTTTTAAATTAGCAACAATACATTTTATCATTTGCAACACTATATATCTAAAAAAAAAACATAGGTTTACCCTTAAAGTATCAAATTATGTACAAAATATTTGTAGTTTCAGTTACTTTCTCGCCAACGTGTCGTGGCTTCCCTCTGTCTTTTCTACAAATATTTTCATGGCATCTGCTATGACGAGTTTTTTTTCCCCCTGGTGCCTCGGCTGCATGGATTTAAGTGTGTCACATGATTGGCATTTAGGTCCCATCCGTTTACTATTAAAATAGCTAAATTACAACTGCTACTTCTACTCCAAAAGTTTCTTTTCTCGCACTTCACGCCTGTGCAACTCTCTTCCGTTTATTTGCTCCCCTGAAAACTACAATCTTCAAAATTTTAAATGCAACGTCAATCGTCATCATCTATCTCCTTCTATCATATTTTGTCATTTCTTCAATATAAGCGGTCTTTTCTCACACTTTTACTCCCCACTCCGCGTACTAGTGGCATTCCCGCCTTTCTTGGAGTGAAATGTATACAAAGAATAAGGGAGATATATTTTGTTGACGACAGTTGTAAACTCTGGTGATAATTTTTTTTTTTTTTTAAATCATGAAATCCAATGATATAAATTTTACATGAATATCTAGGATGGATAATAACAAAAACGCTATCCGTTGTTAAAAAAAAAAAAAAAAAACCTACCTACGGCATCCTTCCATTATAACCATCTTTACGATTATCCCCCACCATCTCTGCTGTCATCATTATTATTGTTATTTTTTTGTCCATTAAAGTGGCACAGCTGTAGGTGTGTCCACTTCATGAAAAATAAACGGGTACTCGTCCCATCGATTGAGATAGGTTTCAATAAGCGTTCTCCATACATTCACAATACTCTGAGCACAAATCTGAATTTTCTCTTACGTCCCATATTTCACTTCTTCTGCTTCTTTCTCTTCCAATGCCTTTCCTTTTTTCATCTTTCTTTCTTTCTTTCTTTCTTTCTTGTTATCTCTGCATCTACTTCTCGTCTTCCTTCTTTTTCTCTTCATCTTCTTCTTCCTTTTTGACACACACATTTCTTGATTCTCTTTTCTGCACTGCTCACTTTTTCCTTTTATAATAAACATCATCTTTCCTTCTTCTTTCCTTCTCGACCACCTCGTTGTCTTTGTTTGTTTCTCCTTATTCATCCTTCTCTTTTTTTTTCTCTCTACTCTCTACTTCTCGTCTCCTTTTTTTTATCATCCTTCTGTTGTTTGTTTTAACTTTTTGTAGTTTTCTTTTTTGTTTATTCTTTCTGTAACATCTTTTTTTTCATTTTCAATTCTTCCTACAACCACTACGATCATTCTTTTTGCAACCTCTACGTTATTCTTTCTGTCGCATCTAGTTTTATTATTTAGACAACATCAAATTTTATTCTCTCTGCAATCTTTACTTGATTTTTTCTACAGTCTCTACTTTTATTCTCTCTACAACCTCTACTTTATTCTTTCTACAATTTTTACTTCTTTCTACAGCCTATACTTTTTTCTTTCTACAGCCTATACTTTTTCTTTCTACAACCTATACTTTTTCCTTTCTACATCCTATACTTTTTCTTTCTACAGCCTATACTTTTTACTTTCTACAGCCTATACTTTTTTCTTTCTACAGCCTATACATTTCTTTCTACAACCTATACTTTTTCTTTCTACAGCCTATACTTTTTTCTTTCTACAGCCTATACATTTCTTTCTACAACCTATACTTTTTCTTTCTACAGCCTATACTTTTTTCTTTCTACAGCCTATACTTTTTCCTTTCTACAATCTTTACTTCGTCCTACAGCCTATACTTTTTCTTTCTACAGCCTATACTTTTTACTTTCTACAGCCTATACTTTTTTCTTTCTACAGCCTATACATTTCTTTCTACAACCTATACTTTTTCTTTCTACAGCCTATACTTTTTTCTTTCTACAGCCTATACTTTTTCTTTCTACAATCTTTACTTCGTCCTACAGCCTATACTTTTTCTTTCTACAGCCTTTACATTTTACTTTCTACAGCCTATACTTTTTTCTTTCTACAGCCTATACATTTCTTTCTACAACCTATACTTTTTTCTTTCTACAGCCTATACTTTTTCCTTTCTACAATCTTTACTTCGTCCTACAGCCTATACTTTTTTTTTTTTCTACAGCCTTTACTTTTTACTTTCTACAGCCTATACTTTTTTCTTTCTACAGCCTATACATTTCTTTCTACAACCTATACTTTTTCTTTCTACAGCCTATACTTTTTTCTTTCTACAGCCTATACTTTTTCCTTTCTACAATCTTTACTTCGTCCTACAGCCTATACTTTTTCTTTCTACAGCCTATACTTTTTACTTTCTACAGCCTATACTTTTTTCTTTCTACAGCCTATACATTTCTTTCTACAACCTATACTTTTTCTTTCTACAGCCTATACTTTTTCCTTTCTACAATCTCTACTTCTTTCTACAACCTATACTTTTTTCTTTCTACAGCCTATACTTTTTTCTTTCTACAAACTCTACTTCTTTCTACAGCCTATACTTTTTCCTTTCTACAATCTCTACTTTTTTCTACAGCCCATACTTTTTCTTTCTACAATCTCTACTTCTTTCTACAGCCTCTAATTTTTCTTTTTACAGCCTCTACTTTTATTCTCTCGACAATTTCGTCGTTATTCTTTCTATAGCCTCAACTTTATTTTTTTCTTCAGCCTTCAATTTATTTTCTACCGCCTCTACTTTTATTCTTTCTGTCTCGTCTACTTTATTCTTTCTACAACTTCTATTTTTTCTTACTCTACTTTAACTTTTTCTTTTCTTTGACTCCTTCAGCTTCTTCTTAATTTCTATCTTCATTTCATTCATGTTAACAATCCAGTTTTTATCCTTCGCCATTTTTTTCACTCTATTTTTTTTTCGCTACCTTCTCATTTTTCTTCTAATTCCGTTCGTTCTTTTTTCCATTCCATTTTTTTTTTCAGACCAATCTCTTCTATTTCTCCTTTTTGTTTTCTACTTTCCCCTTTTCCTTTCTTTATCTTCCTTCTTCTCATTTTTTCTTTTTCTCTTATTCCTCTTCTTTCTTCGCTTTATCTCCTCTGCTGTTTCGTTATTCCATCATCAACTGTTCCTTCTTCTTCCTTCTCTTCTTTCCCTTTTTCTTCTTTCTGTCACCCCCACCTTCTTTTCTTACAAACTTCATTTATCTTCTTTTCTCTTTCTTCTAACTTTTACTTTTTCTCGTCAATACCTTTATCTCTCTTTCTCTCTCTCTCTCTCTCTCTTTCTCTCTCTCTCTCTCTTTCTTTCTTTCTCTCACACACGCATACACATACTTTCTTCTTTTTTTCTTTCTCCCTCTTTTTCTGTTTCGGTCTCTATCTCTCTCTTCGTCTCTCCTTCTCTTCCTATATATCTCACTTTTTCACTCATTTTTCTCTTTTTATTTTTCTGTTTCTTTCTCTTTTTCACTTTATTTGTCCTTTTCTTTCTCTTTCTCTCTATATGTTTTTTCTTTCTTACTCTCTCCATCTCTCTTTTTCCCTATTCCCTCCTCTTTACTCACTCACTATTCGGTTTTCTCTCCATTTTTCCTTTCTCGTTCTCTTTTTACTTACTATATTCATTACTACTTTTTTTTTCTTTATTTCTCTCTCTCTCTTTATCTTTCTCAATCATTTTCTCCCTATTTCTTTCTCTTTCTTTCCTCTTCCTCTTTCTTTCTCTTCTTTATTTTTCTTTATTCTCATCCTCCCCCCCGCCACAATCTCTCTCCTACTAATCACTCTGATTCTCTCTAAGAAATGAACATAAGGCATTCGATTGGTTATTTCGTACAACCGAAAGTGTTTCATCCAGAAGCAAGATATCAAGTCCGTCCAAGACATTTTTTTTTCATGGCTGCCGGCTTGGAAGGAAGATACTTTGCCATAATATGACTGCATTTGTCTCCCGTGGAAAATCTTTATCCAAGACACACGGCAACGGTGACACCGACTCTACCTCTAATAACTTCCTTCTCTTTTTATTTACTTATTTATATATTTTTTTGTATATTGGCTCTCCTTGTGCACGTGCTCGCGCGCGCCACTCTCTCTGAAAAGAGGGATCTAATGTTCTGCTTAGCCGGTCATTGTTTGCAAATTAAATGACATCGGTCGCCCAAGGATACAGTTTGGAAAAGGTGGGGGGCGAAACTCGCTCACATAGGCCAAGGTTTTCATATTTTCTTTCTCTTTTTATTCCTTACTTTCCTTCTTATGAACCAGTCTATCAGTTATTTGCTCATATATCTGTTTCTCTATTTCAGTTTATTCATATCTCTCTACTATAGGAAATATATGAACCAGTCTGTTAGAACTTGTATTTTATATTCGTCTATCTAAAGCTATCTCAGACTGTGTATCTAATATCAGTTTTCTTCTATCTATCTATCTATCTATCTATTTCAATATCTTCATATATATATATATATATGTGTGTGTGTGTGTGTGTGTGTATACGTGACCTATCATCTCTCATTTACTCCGTCTTTATTTCCATCTGCATCAGTCAGTACATATCTTTCTTTCTCTTTTTTCTTTCCTCTTTCGATCATTTAATCAATATTTCTCTCTCTCTCCCTCTCTCTTTCTCTCCCTCTCTTTTTCTTTCTCTCTCTCTTTTACTCTATTCATATCTATTTACCTGTTTTCTCTCTGTTTTTCTTCAATCTTTAGTTCTATCTCTCACAATTCGTTCGAAATTTTCTTTCTTTTTTTCCTTTTATTTCTTTCTTTCTTTCTTTGGTATATTCACTCTTTACTTCTATCTATATCACTGTTTATATTTTGATTTATTTTTTATTACTTCATTCATTTATTCTTTCTTTCTTCCTTCTCTAGTTTATTCACTCTTTATTTCTGTTTGTCTCGGTATCTTTCTTTCTTTCTTTCTTTCTTCTCTAGTTTATTCACTTTTATTTCTGTCTCTATTTCTTCAGATTTTTCTTTCTTTTCTTTCTTCCCTCATTATACACTCATTATTTCTGTCTCTATATATTTTGCTTTCTTTCTTCCTCACCTTTTTTATTCAATCTTTATTTCTATCTATCTCGGTATTTTCGTATGTTTTTTCTTTCTTTCTTTTTTTCTCTAATTTATTCACTCTTTATTTCTATCTTGGTCTCTTCATATTTTTTCTTTCTTTCTTTTTTTCTTTTTTTCATCCTTTCTCGCTTTTTCCTAGTTTATTAACACTTTCTATCTCTCTCTCTCTTTCTTTCTTTCTTTCTTTTTCTCTAATTTATTCACTCTTTATTTCTATCTTGGTCTCTTCATATTTTTTCTTTCTTTCTTTTTTTCTTTTTTTCATCCTTTCTCGCTTTTTCCTAGTTTATTAACACTTTCTATCTCTCTCTCTTTCTTTCTTTCTTTCTTTCTTTCTTTCTTTCTTATTCTCTAATTTATTCACTCTTTATTTCTATCTTAGTCTCTTCATATTTTTCAATTTCTTTCTTGCTTTCTTCTCTAGTTTATTCACTCTTGATTTTTGTCTTAGTCTCTTCATATTTTTCTTTCGTTCTTTCTTTCTTTCTTTTTTCTTTCTTTCATTCTTTCTTGCTTTTTTCCTAGTTTATTAACTCTTTATTTCTCTCTCTTTCTTTTTTTTCTCTAGTTTATTCATATCATTTCTGTCTTAGTCTCTTCTTATTTTTTTTTTTCTTTCTTTCATTCTTTCTTGCTTTTTTCCTAGTTTATTAACTCTTTATTTCTCTCTCTCTTTCTTTCTTTCTTTCTTTTTTCTCTAGTTTATTCACTCTTCATTTCTGTCTTAGTCTCTTTATATTTTTCTTTTTTTCTTTCTTTCATTCTTTCTTGCTTTTTTCCTAGTTTATTAACTCTTTATTTCTCTCTCTCTCTCTCTCTCTTTTTTCTTTCTTTCTTTCTTTCTCTTCTTTTTTTACTCTATATTTCTCTAGCCTCTTTTTGATTGTCTCCATTTATGAACAGTGTGTAGCCTGGCCCGAGAAAAATAATCCCTAACATATAATTGTTAACATACTGTTTAGAAAAGCTGCCTTTTCCTCTTGCATGCCACTTTATCGTATTAAACGTTGGGGGATTTTATATGTTTGTCATTGTGCGTTCCTGTGTGTGCAATCGGGAGCAGTGTCGGGGCGGATAAACTTGCGAATGAGCCTGTAGGTGCCTGAGTGTATCCGTGGTGATTTGAGTGGATTAATGAATAAATTCATTTGTGTGTTGCGTGCGTTCATGCATCTAATCATATATGTATGTGAATATTTTTTTTTATTTACTTTTTTTTTTTTTTTTTTTTAGTGGATGTTGGTTTCCCTGTCTTACATCTTTTTATCGAATTTGTTGTCAGAGTACGAAATTGCTACCGTTAATCTTATAACAATAGGCGGAAGAATAGCTGGAGGGACCTTCAAGGTGAGATATGGATAAGTGAAAAGAATGAGTTTAGGCACAGTCGGCCATTTTGCGACTTTGCATAATAGAAAATACACGGGTTTAAGAAATGGCGTGTTCATGTCTAGGCTTGTGTAAATGGAGATTGACTCGAACACATATATACGCTCGCTGTCTATACATCTGTTCAGAGTCGGTGCGTACTATTCCCGAAACCCCCGGCCGGGTGGGAGGGGTGTTGATTAGTCTGATTGGGGACCCCCGGGCAGTGCTTTGTGACCCTCGCTATCTTATCAACATTTGTTTTTGGTTTTGGGGTTTGTTTTTTTTTATCTACATTTATACACGTTACAAATTAAACTAAGTAAAACTGTCTATTAAAGGATGAAAATTTTCACGGATTTGATGCCATTCTGGGGTCTTTTTTTTTTTTTTTCAAATCCGTGAATTTGTTTTGCTTATACTAAGTCTCAAAAAACACCATACAAAATTCGCTATATTTTTATCCATAATGTTGAATGCGTTAAAATTCTTCAACATTTTGACAAGAAAAATCTGATGTTAAAAATTGCGCAAAACATTGTTGATTTATTTTAAGATGGAATGATCTATTATGACATGTCTCTAATTTTTATTTAAATACATAGTATTTATTTTCAATTTTTCTAGTTGAATTGTCCATCTATATTGCATATGATCCATTATTGTACATAAATATGTTACAATAAAATTTGTTTTATATAAATACTACCTCATGAAAATTGAAATATAGTATCATAAATTCGGGGTTATCATAGATTTTTGGTGTGGAGGCATAAGACACTTTCACCCTCCGTATATCTTTCTATCAAAGTGTTCATCTGTCAATCAATCAGTCTAATTTAGTTTCTTTATATCTACTTTCATTTGTCTATATCTATATAGTATTTATTTGATTATCCAGGCACCTTAGGACAGGGGTTGAAAAAATATAGTCGGATAATTCTAAGTTCCAGATAACTGAATACATATATTATTGAAAATGAATGAAGAAAAAAAATCATTTCTGAAATAAATTTATCATTTGTAAAATCAAATAATATTTTCTAACGCACTATTGAAGGTTTATCTCTAGTTTATTTTTTAATGAAAAATACTTCAATTATTCTCTGTTTCCGCCACTAATTCGCTAAACTAGATGAAAATAGATGTATTTGTAAATCTTGCTTCTGATTGAAAGAAAAAACAACTTAAACATTTGGCAAACATCGTTGCTTTGGTGTTTGAAATTGGGAATTGGGTATGTTGAAATTGGGAATTGGGTATGTTGAACTTTGACATGGGCAATATCAGTTTTCTTTTTGGTTGTTGATTTTATTCTTTTGTTTGATAATCTTTTATCAATGTCTGTCTATATTTCTGAGATGAGGTATTATGTACATTATTTACATTATTCGGACTATTGTCCTCATCTTTGTGGCCATATTTATCACAACGACCAAGCATAGAAATAAATACAATATGGGAACCAGTAATAAGGAGTGCCAGAGAAAAGCAATGATAACAACATAGTTGCAATATGAGCTCTGGTAAAAACATGTAATGATAACAGCAAAAAATTGCAATATGAGCACTGGTAAAAATGATTGCTGATGACATTAGGTTTATAATACCCAGAAATTCAGACCCAGGTGTCTTCAAGGACACATGGCACAGTGGATAAAGCTGTTGATTAGTGACAGGACCCAAAGAGTGTGAGTTCAATACCCGGTTAAGGCAGTGGAGAACTTTCAGAGGGAAATTAACTGGAGATAACTGATAACTGACATCCATCAACATTCTACCCCGGTGAGCAAAATAAAGGGTTCAGTTCGACATTCCAACCACCTGAAGAAGGCCGGAGCGTACAACGGCTGAAACGTTGTGATAAATATGGCGACAAAGATGAGGACAATAGTCCAAATAATGTCTATCATCAATCTCTTTATGGTTTTTATCAATAATTTCCTTCTTTTGTCCTGTTATTCCATTCCATATTTTACACCATTTTCTTTTCTTCCCATTTCGCCGATTATCCGGACACTTTGGGACAAGTTCAAAAGATATATTCGGATAATTAGAAATTCCGTTTAATCGAATACATAAATTATCGAAAAAAACTTGATTTTTTCATAGAAATATAATATTTATTTAAACAAATAATATTTTCACACGTTTTCTTCAAGGTTTTCTTTGCTTTATTTTCTATGAAAAAAGGTGTAAATTTTTGTCTATTTCCGGTTAGCCTCGTGTTTTTTTTTTTGTTTTTTTTTTGTTTGTTTGTTTTTGTTTTTGTTTTGTTTTTTTGCCACTAATTCCCGAAACTGAATTAGAGATTATGTATTTGTAAGTCTTGCTTCTAGTTGAAAGGGCAACCAACTTAAACATTTGGCAAACATAATCATTGCTTCGGTGTTTGAAATTGGGAATTGGGTCTGTTGAACTTTGACATGGGCAATATCATTAGCATCATCCTCATCATCCTCATCATCAACAACATTTTACAAAGCGGTTATGAGTTCAATACAGTTGCGTCAGCCATAATCTCTGGCGTGACCAAGCTATGATAATTCCAATGTTTGTTCCTTGTATGAAAGCAACGAGGAAATTAACGACAATTAATGGAACTCATTTTATCAACGTTTTTATCAAACGTTGAATAAATTATAAATTGTAAATTCCCAAAATGTCTTTTTCTGAGATGAAATATTAGAATGGAATTAATTCGGAAAATTTCAAAATGTCCGGATGATTTCAATTTTTTTCTCTTCATTTCACGTCCGGACAATCGAAGTCCGTAAAATCGAGTTACGGATAATCGATGATGTACTGTATCTCTTTTCACACTTGAAATAGGATCTTGTATCAAAAGTATTTCTATTTTTATAGATCTTCAATCCAAGAAACCTTTGAGAAAATGTCTAATTTTTTTCATGTACATATCTAAAATCAATCTATCCTTCTCTTCTTCCAACGTAACTCCAGATAAGTCTTGCGACATGTCAGTCCAGAAGCAGCTCCATATATCGAGGTCTTCTGCAGCGAGTTTGTATCCATCGGCGGCTTCCAGTACCCAACAGCCATATATATGAGTACTTCATCGGATTTATTCAACCTATACAGCGAGGTGATTCCGAGATGATTAGAAGTCGTATCAGTGTTAATTATTGGCGGCCATAATCTTAACGACATAAGATATGCAGATGACACAGTGTTGATAGAAAACACGAAAAGAAAACTGCAGAAGCTTCGAAAGAAGCTAGTGAAGGGAAGCGAGAAGAAAGGATTAAATATCAACGGCAGGAAGACAGAATGCATGATGGTTAGCAAAAGGCATGAGCCCAAAATGCAAATTACAAATTGGAGATACCAAAAATCAAACGATTAAAAAATTTAAATATCTGGGAAGTGTTTTAACAGAGAACAGAAAATGTGAAACTGAAACCCGAAGGAGCATTGGGATAGCGAAAAATGCCTTCTAAAAGCTAAGCTAAGTATCAAGAAACAGAAAAACTTCGTTAGAAACAAAGAAAAGTGTACCGTATTGTTAAATGATATATCTTCTTATATGACAGTGAAATATGAACAATCTCCTCGCAGATGAAGAAGCGGCTTAAAGCAACAAAAATGTGGCTCTACAGAAGGTTGCTGAGGATATCATGGACCAAATATGACGAGGTTTAAAGAAAATGGAAACAAAAATGAAACTAATACTTAACATCAGGAAGAGACAGTTGAAATTTCTAGGCCACATAATGTGGAAAGGGGGCTTGGAAAATATGATACTCACAGAACAGATTGAAGGCGAGCGGAACAGAGGAAAACAACGCATAACCTACTTAGTGAGTTTGAGTAAATTAATGGCGGAACAAAGTTTAAGAGAAATCAAAAAAAACAACATTTATTAATAGTTACGATAGACAGGAAGTTGTGGAGAGCCATGATTGCCTACGTCCTGAGGGGACACGGCACATAAACAAGACCAGCCTGAAAGTTAATGGGCTTAGTTCG